ATTTGGTTGGAGATATAAAAACGTGTATTTAGTTTGGTTGGATATGTATAAATACATGTATTGTTTTATTTGGTTGGACATGGACAAAAACATGGACATCCCAAAACTCTTTCTCCTCTGGCTGCTGAGAGCACCCAACTGGTCATGCTCCTGCCTTGTGTTGGCACCCATGAAGTGCTGGAGTCCTGGGGCTTGGTCCTGAACTACAGCATGGAAATGGCCTGACCTGGAGACAGGACTGCCTCGGCACGGGTGAACGATGGAGCCATCAGCTAAGATATTGCCAGAGGAGAGAGCACCCGAGACTCCCTGGGAGGTTCTGTGAGGACATGAGGCCCCTCTTGCCAATGGCACAGCTGAGCAGTGTGTGGTGGATGAGTCACTTAGCAGAGTACAACTTTTAATGCTCTTGGAGCATCCTCTTACCTTCAGCAGGGCATTGCTTTGAGAGGTGGGTATGGCTGCTCTGCTCTTCTCGATGTGTTTGCCTCAACCCTAGCAGGGCCAGCTTTGTTGTGGCTTTTTCCTCTCCATTCCCCCTGCTCCTGCCAGCCCTCAAAGCATGCACTCGCTCCCTCCCCTGCTGGCCTTTTCACACTAAAAGGGTTTTTAAAGGTCCCTCTAAGCAGCAGCTGCTGTGTGGCTTTTTGGTTTTTTTGGTGTTTTTTATGATGAGCTGGAAATTAATTTCTTTTTCACTGGTGTTGGACTATCCATTCCCCATGTCACAGTGCAGAATGAGCTCGTAACTCTCTTGACTGCCTCATGGCTGAGTTATGGGGTCTTCTGTAGTTTAGCCCAAAGTGTTTAATTTAACTGTGGATGTTTTGAAGAAAGCAGTGGGAGATCTGACAACTGTCTAGTGCTTTTGCTGTCTGTACACTTGGAAAGTTTTTCTTAATGTTTGACTGAAAGGTTCCTTGTTTTAAATTAAACTTAGGATTTCTTGTCCTTTCCACAGGTGGGGAAAGGTGAGGGTTTTTTCCCCTTTCATTTTTGCTTGTCTGAAGACTGTAACCATGTCTCCATCCTCTCTTGACTGAGCATCACAAATGCTTTCTACCTTTCCTTGCCAACCATTTCCTATAGATTTCCAGTCACTGCTGTCTGTCTCCTTTGGACGGTCTCCAATTGTTCATACCATCTTGGAGATCATCATCCCAAACTGGACAACATGTTCCAGCTGAGATCTTAACAGTGCAGAAGGCATGTGAGGATAATTTGGACTGCTTATGCATGACATCTCTTTTGTGGTTTGATCCTGGTTGCCCTTGGCATGATCTTGATCCCGTTTTGGGGCAAGTGGGGTAAAGTGTTTCAGTTACTGCCTAGGCCACCTGTTGTCTCCTGTCACTACACACAGACACTAATAAGACCATCTGTTGTAGGAACCTGTGTCTCGAATCAGGGATGCTTGGGTGAGCTAATATGAAAGGACAAAAGATGCAGTCTGCTTGCAGGAACTGAAGCTTGTTAACCCCCCTGCAGATGCTCCTCCATATAGACTCCTTCATGAGACTATTTACAGGGTGGTTTAATATACCTATTAATATGCAACCTGTGTTGAGTCCCACCTTAGATGATTTGCTGTAGCTTTCTCAAGTGTCTGCTTGCAGCCAGATCGATGCCATGTGGGTTGCTTGCCTGGCAAGTCTAGAGATGGGAGGAGCCACCAGTGACTTTGATTTAAACCCCCTGCCAGGGTTTGGGGTCAGTCCCTGGGTATGACACCAGGGTCATTGCTGCCTGTTTGGTGTTCCTTCCATGTGGGAAGAAATTGGTGGGGTTGTGTCCACTGGAGCACTCTTCTACTCACAAAGCTGTGGAGGAGCCATGGGGAAAGAAACACTGTCCTTGCCTTTCCTCATCCCTAGCTTTGCCTTTTCATAATTTCTCTTTACAACCATCAGCTGACCCATGGGTTTTTTTTAATGCCCAGATTGGTTTTGGTCCCTTTAATGAGTAATATCATCTTAATGGCACTGTCCCATGGCTTTGTCCCTAGCAGGGCAGCATCCAATCCTGTAGCATTTCCTTAGCTGAATGGGTCACTGGTCTTACTGGACATGAATGAAGGACATGGTATGGATCCAAGTGTGGTTCAGGGGTTGGGGAATGTCTTGGGCTCTTGCAAGAGAGTGATTATATGTCCTCCAGCTTGACTTTGGGGTGTGGAGAGCACAACTGAGACAACTGGTTGTGAAGCAAGATGGCAATGACAGTCATGAGCAGGAGAGGGTTTGATCCCAGCCTGCCTGCTTGTAAGCTAACTCAGCTGGAGAAAGAAGGGAGGGCAGCTCCAGCCAACAGGTGGAAGAGGTGAGGAGGAAACCTCAACCTCCTGAGGGAAGGAGGGACTGAGATCCTCAAGTTGTTCTCCTTCACCTGTTCAGGACTGGCCCTAAACTAGAGCATGGTTCTGTCGAACCCTGAAGACCTTATGACATTCTAGAAGTAAGGGTGGAAATTCAGATTTATTGTGGTGCACTGGCATGACTCGTCAGGTGATGCTTGTGTTAAGTATGAGACGTGCTGCCTTTGATTTAACCTCGGTCTTGGTGGAAATGACCAAAGAGAAGCTGCAAAATCCCTAGTGTTTTTCAGGAGTTTATCCCTGACTGTGTAAGTAAATCAGTGTAACTGCCTTGTCTTGCCTTTACCAGAGTGTTTTAGGCAGTCATCTATTTCTGGCTTCACTGGGATGCTGTTTGCAGTCCCAATACTGACAAATTCTGTGGGACAGCCCCCATCACCTCAAACTTGTCTCCTGGAGTCAGGCAATTAGATGAAACTTTCTTTCATCTAAGTGCTTTTTTTATCTTTCTGATCAGTGGAGAGAAGCTGGCAGATATCATCTTTAAAGGTAAGGAAAATGGAGCCAATATTTTGTATTCCAGAAATCTCATTATTTTCCAACTAATATGCTGATTTTGGATGCTGGGGTTTGGCAGTGACACAAGGGTCATTGCTGAACAAAGCAGAAGCAGGTCCATCCTGGAGAAGCCTTCATGGGTAAAATATGCATTTTCTATGGGTGAAAAATGTGAATTCTCTGGGTCATGTCAAGGAGTGAGGCATTGTGGGTAATTTCCCTTTTCTCTGACTTGATGGTAGCTTTCACAAGAGGAAAAAAGTGTGTTTTTAAGAAGTTACTTGATACTGATCTGTCCAGAGTGCTTTTCCCAGGCTGGATTTGGGGAGGGATTATCTCAGATTTTCATTTAGTTCTGAAATCCTGGGTATTGGTTTTATAAACTAAAACCCCTTCACAGCAGTTTGCTTGTTCTCTCTTGTTGTTTTAGGTAGATGCATAGGAAGGAATTTAAATTTTCTGAACGGATGGGGCCCGTGCCTTGCTAGGGTAAATCGGCATCGTTCAAATATTTAAAGGCAGATGCATCAATACTGGCAGCTGAGGATCTGGTTTACTTTGATTAAAATCTGATCAAGATTACTCAGCCTTACCAAGGGGCTTGGATTACCAGTCTATAAAAAGAAGAGTAAGAGAGGAGAGGACATTAAATGTAAAAATAATCCAATGAAGGACGTTAGACTAAACTCACTGCAAATTTAACAATATTAAAAGATCTCCGTAAACAGGTGGAAGGCAGCAGGGCTTGCAGGTGAACACTGGGCTTGGAGCTAGGTCTGAGGTAGAAAAACTGCTCCTGTGTTTCTCATGGCCATGGCCTCTTCTCTTCAAGGCAGATTCTTGTCAATGTTTCTCATTTCTATTTAGCAAATCCCCAAGGGAGTGTTGCAGCAGGAGTTGTGGGTGACAAATTCTTTGGAAAATCCTTGTCTCTGCTTCCTCAGGAGACCTGGGCTACTGCTAAATCTCACTAGCAAAGAGGCGATCAAAGCTGAGGAACAGAAAATCAACTTTTACAGATTTCAAAATGTGAAATGTGTGTTTGTCCTTAGGGTTTCTTACAGTAGTTGGACTTCACCTCTCCCCTTCCATCATAGCATTTTTTTTTTACCCTGTTTTTTTATTCCTTTTTAGATGTAAAACTTATTTAGGGAATATTACTATGCCAAGTGATTGGGCTTGATGGACAGTGACTGATAAGGGATGCTGCACCAAGCCCTTTGCTTGCTGGGCAGTCAGCAGCAGTGGCCTTTTTCTTGAGTCTGTCAAACTGCTCAGCACGTGTCTAGCTTTGCCAAGATTTCTTATGCACATGGCCCCTAAACTCAATAAAATCAGGTCTTCCCTGTGCTCTTGTGAAATTGGTGGTGTAGCTACTGGTAGGGCAGGCATACTTGGGTCCTAAGATAGATGGCTTTTGGAGCCCCCCAAACCCTATTGGGGGCAGTGGATTTATCCTTCCTCATCATGGAACTCACCAGCTCAGTGGGCTTGCTCGGATGGGAGGCACAACCCCTGCTGATCTCTGTGGAAGATATGTGGAAGGAGGTCCTTCAGTTGCAAGACATGACTAGAGTGTCCTTTTGTAGCCAAGAGGCAACAGTGAACAGGATGCAAGGTGAACTAGCTGGTCTGGGAGTCTGTCTGGGGTGACTGAAAGATGCTTTGACTACATCAGAGGACTCTGTGAGCCTGGAAAGTGGGGCTGAGTGGCCTTAAAAATACTGGTGACTTAACGCATCTAAGATTGCCAGAGAAAAGGTGAGGGAGTCATTGTGGGACCTCCTGCGCAATTATATACATGGATGGCCAGCAATATCGCCTGAATGCCCCAGCAACTATGCCAGTCTGTCCAGTTTTCTTTAATCGGAATTGGGGTCAAATAAGGTTAAGATTGTGTTTTAATATGTATTTCTTAGCAAGTGATTTTCCTCCCCCCTAATATTGTTAATTTTCCTTGCAGTAGCATGTGCATCGTTCAGCTTCTGTTGCTCCATGTGTCGTGCTCTGTTACTCTGTCTCGCTCAGAGCCGCAGAGTGGAGGGAACGTTGCCAAGGCTTTTTCTGGGAATTTGCTCTGGTCCTGCTGCTTCCCTGGGAGTGCTCAACTGATGTGTTTTGTTTGTAGGTGGAATAAAACGCTCAAATGTCAGCTTCTGAACAGACTACCAGAGACCAAGGTGAGGACCAACTGCTCCTTTGTCTCTGTGCACGGGTGTCCACAAACATGTAGCCATGGTAAGTTTTGAGCGATGACTTTTTGAGAGAGAAAACTTGCTAAGCATAAATGTGACCTTTGTGCCCTATTTTAAAAGATGTGAAGCTTTGCTTAAGGCAACCTGAGGATAAAGGTGCTTCCTCCTCTAATTCTTTCCCAGGTGCAAAAACGAGAGCTACAAGTGGCTGTGATACCCCATGGAAGGGCGCCCCTCTGTCTGAGGCACAAGTGCATTTTCACTTGGGCTGGGTTTGAAACAGTGTTTAAAAGCATTGTTAATTGAACTGCATTGGTGAACACATTTTTAAAGCACCTGTTTTCTTACTGGAGACATGGTTATACTTACCCAGAGTAAACCACTGCAGGGAAGGTGAAGATGCAGTGCACTCTGCAGCTGGCTGGGCCATTAATTTCTTAGCATGGGCTTGAATTTCTGATGACTCAAAACGGAGCTCGGCTGCCCCTCAGCTATTTGCAGATATGAATATCAGTGGTACTGTGGTTGTGAACCAGGGTTCTGAGCATTGCATTGAGCAGAGTTGGGACCAAAGGCCACCTCAGTCTCAAAGTGCTTACAAAGACAAGCAGCTGAGGGTTCCCAAGTGTCAGGTTTGCACAGGGAACTCGCAGGCAAGTCCCAGAAAAATAATAAGGTGGATGCTCAGTATGGGATTCTTGCTGCTGGCCTTAGTTTCTTTCAGGCCGTGGGAGGGAGCAGGGAGGATTAAAAATTTCAAGCCTCTGTTTTAACCATCTGAAGTAGATTAGGAATGAGAGATGAACATTGTGCAAAACCAGGGGCTTTACTACTGCAGGAGCTGGTGATAGTGAGTATCTTATACTTTCAGATTTATAATTCCTTCCTGATCTGGAGTCTTCTATCAAATATCTTTGTACACAAAGCCTGAGGAATATTTGGTGGGAAAGCCCCTTCTCTTGTGGGACCTGCCTGCGAGCCTTCTCTATCAGGTAAGAGCAACTGTAGAGCTCTTGGCCACCAGAGTGGGTCAGAATTTACACAAGCACAGGACTGGTAAGCAGTGGTCACTAATTTGTGTAGCTCTATGATCTGCACCTGTGCCTGCAGCACCCTGTTCTGCAGAGCCTATGTGCTCACTCAAGGTGTTTCACCTGAGCTCTGGGTGCAGTAGGTATCTTCAGGCTGTGCTCTGACCTCCTGGGCTGTGTTTCACCCTCTGTCCTACCTGGGTTTCCTCTTTCTGAGGTCTCTGTGTTGGACAGGTCAGCTGCCCGCACTCAGTTGTAACACCCTTCTTGTCTTTCGATTGCTTCCCTGAGAAAACAGGGTTAATGTGGTTTTGGCTCCTTTTTGCCCACCCCTAATAACTTTCCAGCCTCCTGGCTGATTGCAGCTGTGTGTGCCGGAGATCTTAAAGATAACGAGTTCCTACCAGCTTGCTATAAATAGATGGCCACTCTTCTTTGCCACTCTTTGCCAAGGGAGTTCAATCCTTATCAGTCCAAGAGCATCTGTGTGTGAGAAAGAGAGAGATGTTATGAATGCCCACGGGGAAAACTGCGCTTGGATCCAATATCCTACTGCATCCTGGAGAATCCCCCCGTGTTCTGTAACTCCATGGAAGATGGAAGTATTGCTGGCCCTGCTACAGGCTGAGCACTGTGTGGGGCTTTCTGTTGCTTGCTTTCCCCACAGTCTTTCATCAGAGGCTGGAAACAGCAGTGTGTGCGGTGTTGCTGGCCTGACTTGGAGCAGAGAGTGGAGCCTGGCACTGGAGCAGAGGGATGCAGCCTGCTTCCTGGGGGGATGAGGCTGTTTTAGCCTCTGGCTGGTTGACAGGGCAGCTTTCGACTGCAGCAGCACTCACTTTCCCTGGGCAATAGCCACTGTTTCTAGGATGGTTCCTCTGACTCATCACCCAGCTCCTTTCCTGCCCCCTTTGCCTTCTGCAGAAAGATATTTAATCAAGGGTATATCAAAATCCATCTGTCTATGCTTGTGTCAAAAACTTAGCTTCAGGGACATTTTAAATAATTTTCTTTCCGCACTCTCTAATGGGTTTCATTGCTGAGGGGCTGGAGAGTAAGGCAACAAAGGTATTTTAATTACATCCGCTCATGGCATCTCACAGTCTGGCCCTGTCAGTTGTTCTGGCACAGTGCCATTTAGAGCCACTTTTGCCAGCACAGGCATGTTAGCTGGGGGTTTACTGATCACAGAGGAAAATACTGATATTTCACTCCTGACATCTTGGGGCTGTGTCTTCTTTCTCTACCTTGCTTTTGTGGCATCAGCTTCTTCCACATTAGAGGATTCCAGTCCTTCCATATCACATCACTCACACCCATAACAAACACCATCACCTGCCCTATTGTGTGAACATCATATCTGGGCAGAGCAGAGGTACTTTGCTTGCTCTTAAGAGAACCTGCATTGCTGCAAGAGAAATGTCCCTTTGAACCCTTTCCCCAGCCCACATCTTAGTTTCACAGCCCATCAACATAAAAAGGGCTTTCCCTTTTCTCAGTCAAGCAGGGGAAAGATTGAAAAGATGTCTCCAACAAGACAGGGGGAAGAAGGATGGAATGAGACAGGGAAAGCTGCTGTTCTTTCTGTGCTGAAACATCCTGATAAGACCCATGGGGCTGGGTCAGCGAGTGGAGTAAGTCCTGGGACAGGCAGGAGTGTGGCAGGAGGGATAAAGCACGTTTTTGGAAGCACCTACTCATCAGACAAGAGGAACTCTAGCTGGGTGTGTGTTGAAATGCCATTAACTACTGTATCTTTATAGGGTGTATTTTCACTAGCCCTCAGCGCTAGTGGTCTCAGTGCTGCTGTCTGCAAGTTTTCTGGGGTGTTCAGCAGGTCACAGCTCTCAGCACCCATACTCTGACCTGCCTTTTCAAAGTGTTTATCATGCAAAAGGCAGAAACTGTTTGAATCTAACCTGGGGTTTGGAAGGAGAGTACAAAGAGGAGGAGGAGGGCAGTGTTAAGGTAATTTTTTTTGGTATGACTGCTAAAATGTGTTTCCATTCTTGCCAAAGCTTTTGGTTCTGATTTAATAGGAACCTTAATTCTCAATTTCCACAGTTTTTCAATGTTGGAATATGTTTGTGTTCCTAACAATACTCATCTGTCATTTCCTCCTCGTAATAGATATAACCTCAGCGGCAGCTTAGAGAAGTGTTTTGTTTGTGATTCCTAGGTGCTGTACATTTGATGCATTGTCTTTCTGCAGATGCAGGGCAAACTCTGCTCCTCCCTTCTGGCCTGGGTTGCAATGATGGATTAAGTAGGTAAGTAATAGAGTGGTAATGAGATAACCACTGACATCGAGCATTAACATGGGAATAAATGAAGTTACCAGCCAGAACTAATGGCCTGAACTATCACTGGGTTGTAATTAATGAAATGTGGAGGCTGAGATTTACAAGGTTATTTTAGGATGCTGCTTGCATGCAGCTTTGGGTTTTATGGCTTGGTTGGAGAGAAATCAATTAATGCCAAGAACTTAATGGATGGGCAGAAGCTGTTCTTTGTCAGTTTGTAGTGCCCCTTTTGTGGAAGAGGCTAGACTGGCACATGTGGAATATCTGCCTTTACTTCAGGTTCTGGAAGAAGATAGGATGCTGTGGCCTCTGACTGTGGGTCACACTCTTTTTAGTGCCTTGTAGAGATGTTGCAAGGTATCTTAGAGGATTTGTTTCTTCTGTATTAGGGCAGAGTAGCAGGAGTCTTGGTGGAAACAGTACATCTGAAGTGAACCCATGCAGCAGGCTGACAAGTTTGCTTGTTTGTAGAAGAGATTGCCGGTGATGGGAATTCTCCAACCAGGACCTCTCAACTGAGCAATGACAAGCTGCCCTGTTTTATCCCATGAAGGCAGGACATCTAGCTCCTTCTTCAGGTTTTCTCTTGCCTGCAGCTGTGGCTCTATCTCTTGCATGTCACCCTCTCACTCGGGTGTCCTGTGTGGTCTGATGACTGCCTGCACCTCGTGCATGAGCCTCAAGTGCAGACATGCAGTGTGCCCATGCTCAAGGAGCCTTGCCTGGAGAGCACTCTCTCTCTGCTCGCACAGATTCCTAGGCATGTGACCCTGCTAAGCACTTCTTAGGTGTGTGAATAACACTTTTCAGGTGGTTGCTAGGCTCTTGCAGAAAACATAGCAGAGAAGTCAAAATTCTTCATGTTAATTGGTAGGAATACTCCTGCCATCTCACTGCTGCTTCCCTCATCTTTCCATGGCAACACTCTCTCTACAACAGCCCAAGTGCTTGTGGTTGGATATAGTGGGATTTTTTGAGCCCTCTATCTTCCAAATTGTCCCTTGGAGCATGGAGGGAACATCTGTACTTCTAAAGTATGGGTATCATGTGATACATCAAATAGCTTCCCTTAGTGTAACCATATTCCTTTTTTATGCTGCCAGAGACAGATAACTTTGGAAATATGTCTGAATTGAACCCTTGCATTTCTTTGGTGGAAAAATTGCCCTGATTTATTTTTTTTTTTTAATGGGGAGAGAAAAGTGCTTAAAGAGTCCTGATTCTTTCTCTTCCTTCCCATAGCCTGAGACATCACACCTTTCTGTGAACTGGAGAAAGAAAAGGGACCACAGCTGACAGCATCTGGTGAACAAAGGGAAGAACAATCTCTTTCAATCCTGCAGAGCAGCTTGGATGGAGCTGTGATGTCTCCTTCAGGAAGCCAGGATGGTGCTGGAAGGAGCCAGAGATGAGAAGAAGAATGGACAGGAGAGAGAAAGCTCAGGCATTGCATCATCCTCACCTCTGCTCTCTGCTGTGAATAAAGGCATGTGGGACACAGACAGCACAAATAGGGGCATCGAAGAGCAGAGGACTGCTGCTGTGGACAAGGCGTCCTCTCTTCCTGCTCCCTACCTCTCTGAAACATTCTCCACACGTGCCATTATCTCTTTCAAGATTTGTTTTACAGGTATTTTTAATGATTCCAGGGGAAAATGAGACTCAGATGGCCAGCGACTAACTCAACCCAAAGCTGCTCAGCCTTGGGGAGGTGTGTGCTTTGCCTGGAAGTGTTACATTTCCTTTCTGCAGGCTCAGTAGTTCCCTTCCATGCTGAGCAAGAGGAAGAAATTTTCACCTGATGGACCAGCACAAGTCAAGACCCAAACTGAACAAAGAATGGACGGTGTATTCAGGGATACGTAAATTCTCCTCCCCCAGCCTTGGGAAGTTTATTGCCCTCAACAAAGTACACAGTGTGGCTGTCATTCCTGAGGAGCCCAGGCGGGCTGTTATGTGACAAGGGAAAATAACCCAAGCTGTTATCCAGAAGGCAAGTGAGCAGGAATTTTCCTGTGACCAATTCAGGACAAAGTTAATGTAGGGAAAGCCATTAAAATTAATGCTGGTAAACAAGGATAAAAACCAGCAGGGTTGTCACAAAATTTGGACCAGATTGGGTTTCCCAGCTGTCATGCTGCATGCTGTCTTAAAGGCAGCAGGCAGCAGGCGGAGGGAGTGTTGTGAGCTGAGCTCAGAAAGCTCTTGTGGAGGGGGCTGTGAGGTTGGGGACATCTGGGCTCCAGTGGCACTGGATTCATGGTCCAGCACTTTAATCCACTCTTTTTCTGGGAAGCAGTGATGCTATTTTGTCTGATGGTCATTACACCTTGTATCTACCCATGCAATGGTTATCTGCTCTCCTCCAGAGGCTGCCCTCAAAATCCAAGGGGATTGGGTTGTGAGGTTGGAGACATCTGGGCTCCAGTGGCACTGGATTCATGGTCCAGCACTTTAATCCACTCTTTTTCTGGGAAGCAGTGATGCTGTTTTGTCTGATGGTCATTACACCTTGTATCTATCCATGCAATGGTTATCTGCTCTCCTCCAGAGGCTCCCCTCAAAATTCTAGGGCTCTGGGAATGTGCCCACATGTGGCTGCTGGCTGCAGGTGTTCTGCGTGAGCATATTGGGGGGCAGATCTCTGGCTGTTGGGGCAGTAACTTGCTTCAAGAAGCTGATCCTGAGTTCATCTGGGAAAGGTGCGAAGGAGCACAGTGATTTCTGTCTCCATTTCACCTGCTCAAATGTGAATGGAAGCATGCGCAGGCTGGGCAGAGTGAGGATTACGGGGGATGTGGGTCTACTGTACTGGGAGGAAGGCTCAGCTTTGGTGTCTTGTCTCATATTGGTGGTGGGTACAGGCTAAACAGGGCCAGAACATCCCAGGGAAAATACCCCAGATCAGGAGCTGTGCATTCTTCCAGATAAATGTCTTTTTCCAACCCCACAGCATACTAACGTAACTTCTCCAAAACTCCTGGCATCAGATATTCAACTGACTTGATGCTTTAGAATAGGTCAAATCTAGTATAACCAAGCCAAAATTTCTAGCCCCAGAATGGAAGTAATGGCTCATATTTTCAAGTGACCACTGATTTGATGGTAGTGGTGACAAGGGAGAGGTACAAAAGCAGTTCGTCACTTTCTTGCAGTGCTTGAGAAACTTGGATAGTATGTTTGAAAAGAAAGAAGATAACAGCCTGACCTCTGAGCATGGATGAGCAATATAGATGCCAACAGCCATAGAAAACTCCCCCCCCCCCCCCCTGCAGGAAGATCCTTTGGTTCCTCAAGAGGAATCATATGCCTTGTATCTCCCTAGTGAGGCTGTGTTTCCTCAAATATCAGTGATTTTGATGTCCTGTCCTGGAAGGTCGGGTTTTACAGGATGGGTTGAGTTCTGGTGGAGTCTCCAAGGAGCAAGTTGCAGAGCGAAGTGAAGCTGCTGAGATAATGTGCTGTGATGTATCCAGCTGAGTGCGGGGAACTAGAGCTGGATGGCTGAAGTCATCCTCATCAAAGAGGTGAAGGTCAAGGCTGATGCTGGAACGGAAATCAGTGTGGAGAGAGGCCCAACACACAAGTTTGAAGCCCTCATCCCTGGGAGAATCCACAGGCTGCCTCTGTGCGGAGACATCAGCCCCTTTTCTCCCATCAAGCTGCTGCTAGGTTTCTGTCTTGGAGGTGCTGTAGGTGAGGTGGGCAGAGGTGGAGAACTTGCTTTCTTTTTTCATGAGACATCACTGAAGAATCAGGGTGACAGAATTATTTTTCTGAAAGTGACTATGTGAAATTTTTTTTCATTTTGATTATTTGAAAACTAAAACTGTTCATGGGTTTTAAAATTCATGTCCCCTCCGGGTTGCTTTGTTTTGTTTTGTTTCTTATTCCCTCTTCCTTATTCCTCAGAGGGAACCGTCCAAACCTACACAGTGTGTTATTTCTTGAGGAAATGCATCGTTTTCCAGTTGAACCTAGACTGGAAATGCTTCTGGTGATTCATTTGTCTGAGAAATTTAAAAAGCTTGGATGGAACAGAAACCAGGCTGATTCAGGGAGAGCTTGCTTGTGTTTGAAGATCCACTTGAGCGGAGGAGTTGTTTCAAAAGCTTTTTATTGGAAAAATAAAATTTTTATAGGCTTTGTGTGGGAGACTTGAGCTCCAGCCATTCTTCTGTTGCAGTTTCTTGTATGGAGCCACCCTGGTCCCAGCTTCATATGCTGCTTCATTGCAGAGCTGTGCTACCTCTCACTGAGTCCTACATCTTGAGGCCTTTGCTCTCTAGAGGCACCACTTCTGCAGGGTGGGATGGATGTGATCCCATCTTTGTCTAGACTATACTTTGTACCCAAAGTCTAACCCAAGAACAAGGACCATATGGGTGCAGAGCTCTGTCCTGAGTGCAGCAGGTACCTCCTGCTATTGCACAGTGAGGAGTCCAGGTCCTACATTCAAAGTTATAGTCTGCTCAAGCTCCTCACCACTGACACTCCTTCTGATGTTTCCCAATATCCAGCGAGGTTCAGAGCCAGAAAGGCAGGTTCAGTGATAGTAACCACCACAAAGTCCCATGCAGAATATCTCTCTTTGGCCTTCTGTTTCCCCACCTAAAAGCAGCATGTTTTAATGGTGTGCTCTTTGAGACACAGCTCTCTGTTCCCTCCTACAATAAGGAGTTGTGGAAAACCACCAGGCAATGGCTGAAATCAGATGAGCTGATCTGTCACATCCCTAGAGTAACTTAGGGTTTCAGGGGCTGTTCTTACCACCTCCATGGGATGTCCCAGAGGCGATTGGAGGATTTCTTGGAGGCAAGGTGCATCATGGAAACAGGACTGTACTGGAGAGACTTGGGCAGTGCAGATGCTTCATGTGGGACAGGAGTGGTGGCAAGCACCCATGTGTCTGGAAAACCAGCAAGCAGTGGGCTGGATAGAGGAGACCACCTACTCCTGTTGCTGACTGCTCTGTGAGCTGCCAGCTCTACTGTATAGTGCTGGCCAGATCCACAGTGTAACTGCTCATCTCCAGTCCCTGCCTTCTCTGTGGCCCACATGCTGCTTTTCCTATAAATAGCCTGATGGGAAGCAGAGAACAGAGCCACTGCAGATGGCCCCCAGTTCCACATGCAGTCGTGTGTGAGATCCCATATAGGGGCTGTCAATTCCTTGCCTCGAGCCACCCGTGAAACCTCATTAAAAATGGTGTCCTCTTCCTTAACCCCCATCACCCCCTCCCTTCCCACTTGCCTGCGTTCAAGCACCCTTATTAAACATGCACTTCTAAGCAAGGAGCGCTGACTTCCCCTTAATTGAGGCATAATAATTAGAGCATTAACACATTAGGAGGGTGAGACAGCATGTTTAGCTTTTGTGATTAATTATCTGAGGATTGTAATAAGTTGTTAAGACATTAATTACTCTGGCATGTTTATTGCTCTTTATTGCAGAACAGACACTTGGTAGCAGCAAGTGCTCGTGCATCTGGAAATAGAGCAAGAGGTGGGCTGGAAGGAGGAGACCACCTACTCATCCACAAAACAGTGAGCT